GATCGATTAAAAATGTCTCATTACATTGAGTACTATAATAATCAGGCGGGTGGAGGTTATATCGAAAAATATAATAGATTTGGCAAAGTTTATGTTGGTTCTTATCAACACGGTCATGGAATAGGTGCTTTTCTGGGAGGGCTCTTCCGCAGAGTTGTTTCTTTCCTAGGTAAAGCTGCAAAGGCTGTAGGAAAAGAAGCACTTTACACAGGTATGAATGTATTGAGTGACGTCACCTCAGGCTAGGTACCTCTAAAGAAATCATTGGAAAACAGACTAACGGAATCTGGATTACGACTTAAACGTAGGGCATCAGAAAAATTGGATGAAATGATGAGAGGATCTGGGTATAAAAGACAGCGCATACGTAAAATAATTCACAAAGTTTCTAACCACGGAAGGGTCAAGAAGCGTAAAAGTGAGAAAAAGATTACTAAGAAAAAGAAGGTTAGTAAAAAAAAGAAAACCTCAAAACAAAATAAACGGAAAGTGAAAAAATCTAAAAAGCGTGACGTGTACGATATATTTAATTAATAAAAATGTCGTTTTTACATTCTCACTCTGAGAAGTGTGCAAAATCAGAACTAGATTTATTCACACTACCTCCTACACAAACAAGTGTTGAACAATCACAATGGACATATTACAACCCTATGGCATCTTTGTCGGACGATACTCCTATAGAATTCGTTGTGCCTGGACATGGTGAGGAATACATTGACTTATCACATACTATGATAAAGGTTAAGGCAAAAATCCTAAAAGCTGAGGGTACGGTAGATGAAAAAGATTTTGTAGGTCCAGTATATAATTTTCTACATTCAATGTTTAATCAAGTCGATGTCTTTTTTAATCAAAAAATGGTATCACCACCTAATAATGCCTACGCTTATAGAGCTTACCTAGAAACAATTTTAAATTATAGAGTTGATGCAAAAAATACTCATCTCAAGATGTCGTTGTGGAATATGGACTCAATGGGAGAATATGATACTCTAGGTAAGACAAAAAATAAGGGTCTAGAGGAACGTACGGTATACAATTCAAAAGGAAAAGAGTTTGAAATGATGGGTCATTTACATTGTGATGTTTTTAATCAAGATAAATTTTTACTTAATGGAGTCGAAATGAGAATACGATTACTCAGATCAAAAAATACATTCAGTGTTATGAATGCGAGTGAACATAACTACGTGGTCAAGATTTTGGAGGCTATGCTTATTACAAGAAGAGTGAAAATTAACCCAAGCATTTTAATAGCTCATGCAAGAACATTGGGACAAACGACTGCAAAGTATCCGCTAACTAAAGTAGAAGTAAAATCATTTGTATTATCCCAAGGGATACTAGGAAATACCATTGATAATGTCGTATTTGGTCAACTACCTAAAAGAATAATAATAGGATTTGTGAATGATCGTGCATACAACGGCTCCAAAAAACACAATCCTTTCAATTTTCAAACATTTTCATTAAACTATCTTTGCTTATACATTGATGGGAAACAAGTGTTGGGTAGGGCGTTACAACCACAATTTGGTAGGGATAATTATTCTGAGGTAGAAGCATTTAAAACATTGTTTAGTGGAACTGGCATTCACTTTGGAAACACAGGACCTTGGATCTCGCGTATGGAATATCAGTACGGATGCAATCTTTATGCCTTTGACTTAACACCCGACCTGTCGGCAAATTTGGCTTCTCATTGGAATCTAGTGAAGACAGGAAGTTTAAGAATAGAAGTACGTTTTGCTAAAGCTCTTGATGTTAATGTGAACTCCATTACATACTTAGAGTATGATAACGTTTTGGAAATTGATTCATTGAGACAGGTTATAGTGGATTATAATTAAAGAGAAATAGTGTATACTTTATACAAAGGGAATCATATTTAGATTAGTGATAATGACATTAGTGTCTTTGGCTGCAGCATGTTCTCCGACTTATGAGAATCATAGTTACTTTCTTACGGATTTGACAGGGACACAAAAAATAAATACACTTGCATTAATCGGCACCCATGATTCTGCTACATATAATACTCTATACTCTAACACGCAAAATCGTGAAGCGTTCCACATTTTTAACAAATATAAATAATGCTGTGAAGCGGGAAAGAATAGGAGTTACGGATAATTATTACGTGAAGCGTTCCAACATTCACGTAACAGGATAATTGGTAGGAAAGGATTGAGAAAGGATTGTGGAGAGGATCATCTTAATGTGAGTTTATAGAATATGCGAGAAAAATTATTAGATAGCTCGGACTGGGATTCGAACCCAGAACCTTCCGAAGACATGTCGGCTACTCTACCATTTGAGCTATCCGGTCTATACTAAATTTCCATTCACTTATTCTATATACATCAAGCCACACCGTCCATCTTACGGCTAGCATTTTTAACAAATATAAATAATGTTGTGAAGCGGGAAAGAATAGGAGTTACTGTAATTATTACGTGAAGCGTTCCAACGTTCACGTAACAGGATAATTGTTAGGAAAGGATTGAGAAAGGATTGTAGAGAGGAACTTTTTAATGTTAGTGTATAGAATATGTGAGAAAAAATTATTAGATAGCTCGGACTGGGATTCGAACCCAGAACCTTCCGAAGACATGTCGGCTACTCTACCATTTGAGCTATCCGGTCTATACTAAATTTCCATTCACTTATTCTATATACATCAAGCCACACCGTCCATCTTACGGCTAGCATTTTTAACAAATATAAATAATGCTGTGAAGCAGGAAAGAATAGGAGTTATTAATAGGATAATTAAGAATAGGATAATTATTACGTGAAGCGTTCCAACATTCACGTAACAGGATAATTGGTAGGAAAGGATTGAGAAAGGATTGTGGAGAGGATCATCTTAATGTGAGTGTATAGAATATGCGAGAAAAATTATTAGATAGCTCAGACTGGGATTCGAACCCAGAACCTTCTGGGTTCGAATATAATACTGGCAGCTCAAACACAACAATTGAACATAGCTGAGCAATTAAAAGCTGGTGTACGAGTATTGGACATACGAGTACGAAGAACTGAGAATGTTTTTGCAATGCATCATGATTTCGTATACATGGGAATGATGTTTGGACATGTGGTGAACCAAGTGATAGAATTTTTAAGAGAATATCCATTTCAATTTGTAATAATCTTCATGCAAGAGGAGTATGTTAGTGAGGCTAGTACAATGACAGAATGTGAAATTCTTGAAAACATATATATTAAGAGGCTCGGTAATCTGTTTTTTCAATCTTGGTCAGTAAAAGGTACTATCGAAAAACATCATGGTAAAATTTTGTTGGGTCGCGGAAATAGAAGTTTTGGAAAATGTACGATAAATTTGGCTTGCGAACAGCAAAATAAATGGAAAATCACACCCAGTTTTACACGATCTGAGATGGAATGCTATAGCTTCTTTTCAAAATGAAATGATCAACACAAATGCCGTAAAACCATGCTATATCAATTATTTATCTGCTCATAGTGGTATAATCGGTCCAAATACTATAGCGAATAAATTTTGAAGAGAACCTGCATATTTTCTATCTGACAGAAACCCTCCAGGAATGAATTACAAAATGACTAAATTTTTTCGTAATCCAAAAAATACTTTGTATACAGGGTGTCCCAGAAGTCGCGCACCCCATTGTAGG